AATGAATTAGAGTATCTTAGAAGCATTTATATAAAACTGATATGCATTCCTATTGCACAAAATATATTCCATCCATTATCTATTATATAGGATACAAAAAGATGTACCCAATCCTATATAGTCGGAGCAATATCTTCGCATCTGATGGGAAAAATATTCTAATTCGTATTTTTTGCATAATCTTGTTGCCAGGACCAGATTTGTTCATTTTTTAGACTATTTTTACTTAAGAAATTCCAAAAATTGTTTTTTCTCTCCAGTATAATTATTTTCGAGTTTTTGGCATTCTGAACAAAAAGTGTATTATTAGAACTTTTCTCCAAAGTTGTTTGTTTTCAGATACAAGCGATAGAATATTCGAAAAAGTGCGAAACATGCCATTTTCGACCACGAAAAGTAATATAAAAACCGACGATTTTAATGTATCTGATATTCTTAAAATATTCTTCAAACATCCTGCTAAAGAGATGCAAGATGTAGGGGAGCCGCTATAATACATCCTGAAACGGTTTGGGATTTTGGTAAAGTATGTATGAAGAATACAGGGTGGCCCGTCCATGTGTGGACGGAATATTACTCATAAACAAATACATTCTGGGAAAATCTATTTATGGGACGTTATACATGACATTTGAGGGCACATTTCTAAAATATTGGCCATTATACAGGGTATCCCAATTTCGACCTACATATCAAAGTTGTGATTTTTCAAATACGTAGAATGCCTCAAATTTTATTGCATATTTAGATAAACCAATTCAAAAGAAGAAAATTGGTATAACATACTATGGGGTTTTGGTAATTAGCTACTGAGATATAAGGTGTTTTGTCTAGAAAAACCCCCCATTTCGGCAAACTCTCGGTCCGCCATTTTGAAATTTGAAGTGCTGAATTTTGTACCAAAAAAATGTACACACCTCAGCTTTTATCTTATTTGTTACTTTTTCAAATTTTAATTTTTGCTCATACAGGGTGGTCAAAAACGCAAATTGCAGTTTTTCCAAAAATTTAAAATGCATCACCCTGTATATTTGTGTAAGTTTGGATTCAATTTTTTATAAGCTTTTTTTTGTTACTAGACAGAGAAGGATTTTGACGGCTATTTTTTCGGTTATTAGCACGTCTTTTATGGAACGGCTTAATTCCCTAAAATATCGCATCATCCTTGGAAACAAATAAATTATTGATTAGTTACAAACTGTCAAAATTAGCTTTGTGAGAATTATTATTAAAAACGTGTTTGAAAATGAATTTTTCTAAAGAAGAAATGGTGAATATGGTGTTCGTTTTGGGCGAAGCCCAATGAAATAGTTTCCTAGCATCTCGTATTACATCTTGGCCTATATCTTTTACTCCTGGATCACCAGATATGACACCGATAGACTTCTTTCTATGGGGCTACGTTAGGCAAGAGGTTTATAGATATCCACCATCTACCCCGGAAAATATGAAGGAAAGGATTAAGGATACTTTTCTGAACATAAGGGAACACATGCTGAGGAATGTGCAAAGGTCATTTATTTATCCAAAGACTACGGCTGTGTATTCAACATGGTAGAGATATTTTAAAACAGTTTTGTAGATTAGGTCTTGAGTAGTGATAGTTGTTTGTTTATGTTGTTGTTATAGTTGTCTTTCTCTATTACGCTTGAAGCTGAATACTGTTCCGATTGTTATTACGTCACATCTGTACTCTTAGTGGCAATATAGAACTAGCCTACTGTTTGTCTTTTGTTTCCATGGATGATGTGATTTTTTTCCTTAATTTTGGTGTGTTCTATTAAAAGCTTAATAACTCAAAATCTAGTGATTTTATCTGAATCAAACCTCATACCAAAAGGAAGCTTGAAAAAAATTTAATCCAAACTTGCACAAATACGTAGTCATGCCATAAGTTCTGTCCCTCGTTTTCAAACAAGTGTAGACCTGTTAATACTTGTCCGATTGTTTACATTGTGGTGTCAGTTGATTAAGCGCTTTTCGGGTAATTACATATACCTCAGTTTGTATTGATCTCTCGAAGCATAACGATGGAGTGGGGCAAGGCAGAGAACCGTATTGCAGTGATAGCTTTACATAAGTGTAATCACAGTGCTAGTCAGATTTTTGAACTCTTACGCGGCCTTCAAATATCGCGTAAATTTGTGTCTAGGACCATTCAGCGGTACAATGAGACGTCCTCTGTTGATGACAGGCCAAGAAGCGGAAGACCTCGTCAAGTAAGGACTCCAGCAGCCATCAAAGCCGTAAAAGCCAGGATTCAAAGGAATCCACTCCGGAAGCAGAAGATCCTATCCAGGGAAATGAAGATTCCTGTCCGGACGATGTCGCGCATCATTAAACAAGACCTAGGGCTAGGGGCTTACCGGAGACGTACGGGCCAGCGACTTACGGCCACCTTGCGACACATCAGGGCGACAAGATCCAAGAAGCTCTTGGAGAGGTACGCAGCTGGGGGATTCCGAAAGATTTTGTTCACGGATGAGAAAATCTTCACCATAGAAGAAAAATTCAACCGACAAAATGACAAAGTGTATGCAAGGAGTTCACAGGAAGCTTCGGAGATCATTCCGAGAGTTGAGAGAGGCCACCACCCTGCGTCAGTCATGGTTTGGTGGGGGGTGTCCTACGAAGGGGTCACTCAGCTCCATTTCTGTAAACAGGGCGTGAAAACAAAAGCGGCAAACTATCAGAGCGACATACTGGATCCTATCGTCAAGCCTTTAAGTGGTACATTGTTTGCCAACCAACACTGGGTCTACCAGCAGGATTCCGCCCCCGCTCACAAGGCTAAGAGTACGCAGCGCTGGCTGGAAAGCAATGTGCCAGAGTTAATTGCTGCGGAAGATTGGCCCTCAGGGAGTCCGGACCTCAATCCTTTAGACTACAAGTTGTGGGACCTGCTAGAGCAGTTGGCCTGCTCCAAAGCCCACCGTAATATCGAGTCCCTGAAAGCGGATTTGATCCGATCAGCGGCAGCTATTCCTTTGGAAGCTGTGCGTGCAGTGATAGATGAGTGGCCCGCGAGATTGAAGCAGTGTGTGAAGGCCAAGGGGGGACATTTTGAATAAAACTGTTTGATTATGAATTCTAAAAATGTTGTCGAATAAATAATATCTTTCATATAAATATATCTTATCTTGTTTCATTTTTATCATGAGATTATCATGGGACAGAACTTATGGCACGACTACGTATATAGGGTGATGCATTTGAAATTTTTGAGAAAAAGTACAATTCGCTTTTTTGACCACCCTGTATGAGCAAAAACGAAAATTCGAAAAAGTAACAAATAAAATAAAAGCTGAGGTGTGTCAGTTTTTTTGATTCAAAATTCAGCACTCCAAATTTCAAAATGGCGGATTGAGGGGTTGCCGAAGTGCACGGTTTTTCTGGACAAAACACCTTACATCTGAGTAGCTAATTACCAAAACTCCATAGTATGTTATATCAATCTTATTCTTTTGAATTTTTTTTTATCCAAATATGTAATAAAATTTGGCATTCTATTTAAAAAAACACAATTTTGATATGTAGGTCAAAATTGGGACACCCTGTATAATTGCCAATATTTTACAAATGTGCCCTCAAATGTCGTGTATAACATGCCATCAATAGATTTTTCCAAAATGTATTGGTTTATCAGTAATATTCCGTCCACACATGGATGGGCCACCCTGTATTTGTGGGCTTTGGCAACATTAAAATATTAATATATTTTAATTATGCACTTCATGTTCGCTAATCAACATACATTGCACTTTATAATTTTCATATACGCTGCATATATATACTAACATGTGATGTAGAATTGAGCATAGTGACGTCATAATGCCGGCATTTTTAGGGCACTAATGACGTACTCCGACCAACAAACGTGACGTAGAAATGACGTCATTATGACGGTCTAGTGTCACACCCAATTGACGTCATTATACCACGTCATAGTATGTCGTATAAAAAACCAAATACAAAGTCGGTATGACGTCTATCTGAGGTCGATATAACGTCTATGGGACGTCGATATGACGTACAGTCGCTCGCACAAATAAGCTCGCGGTTTATCCAAATGCTCCTGAAACATTGAGGATTGTTCAGAATTTCTTTGGAGCAATTTATAAAAATCGCTTTGCTTTTTCACAGGACAAAATATTTCTTCTTTCCTGGATGTGACCCAAGCCTTATTGACTATGTGGCGATATTGCCTACTAAATTGTACCACAATGCCCGTCGGAAACCGCAAAACCATCGTGATGTCGGTCAAACCCAATATGGTCAAACCCATAGCACAATCTTGTAACTTCTCTGATGATCGGCTGAATGCTATATACCGTTCCAAAATTTGAACTTTTACCGCGCTTGATTAGATACAAATATTCTGGTAAAACTTGTTTATTGTTATACAGAGCTGTTTGTAATACATTTGTTGTTTACTGAAATAAAACATAATGTAAACTGGAAACTTCAAATATCTGAACATGGAATATTATTATTAGAAAAGTCAAATTAACAAGATATTTTTGGTCGAAGAATTCCTGATATTTCTTTATAAATAACACCATATTAGTTATTAGTATTTGGATATCTAGTTTATCTTACTCTTCAGTAAAAGTCTATATTTTCTTTATAGGTAAGTGTTGATTTTTCAGTAATGACTGTCATGTGCACTTGGTAGGCATATAAAATTTCTTATCTTCATTGCATATCCACGAACATATAAATGCTATTTTGGATATTATTTGCAGATGCAATAAATATATCGCGAAACCATTTTTATCGGGCCCTAACTAATATTCCAAAAAAAAGCAATTAACATTTGAGACTAGACTTCCTTCACCGCACAAAACCTTATTCAGCTTATTAATCTATCTTGCCTGTTACGGCTCTGTTCAAGGAACGACAAACTACTTTCAGGTGTCTGCCACCTACCGGTTTGCGCAAGAATTATAAATCGTGCGTGTTCATCCATTCTATGATATCTATCCGTCTTTTACTCTGGAGTAGAGGCGGCCATAATCTGATTCAATCTCCTCCAATCGTTCTGCGTTCAAAAACGCGAATGTTCTGTGGACAGTGTCACTTGTGTGTCAACACGGTCAACCTATCACTTGAAATGTCAAAACATTGGTAAAATCCAGCAAATTCAATTATAAACGAATTTATTCTGCAAATACGGATATTAAGCTTCAGTCGGTTAAACTGCAGGTGAAATAGTCAAGTGCACGATTTTACTTACTTACAAAAGTACTTGGAGCAACAATGGCCGAGCAGATAGCATTGCAAGAACCAAAGGAGGGTACGACATCCACGGTCACTGTCGTCGAACAGGACGATCACGACGCTACCCAGGTACGTAAACATTACGCAAGCATTTCACTGATGTGAATCAGTATAAAGAACATGTTCCGCGTAACCAGAGCCATTTTTTTCAACACACGTCTCAGCGACATCGGAAAATGCGCTCAGTCACGCACACGCTTTCTGCACACCGGAAAATCCTTGGAAAACTCGCCATTGGACGGTATTCGTATCCTGGATCTCACTAGAATTGTGGCAGGGCCGTATTGTACGATGGTTTTGAGTGATTTGGGGGCAGAAGTGATAAAAGTAGAGAGACCAGGAAGTGGAGATGAAGCAAGAAAATGGGGCCCGCCATTCCTAGGACCTACTCAAGAATCTTGCTATTTTGTGTCTCTGAACAGAAACAAAAAGAGTGTTTGTATTGATCTTAAATCTCCTAAAGGAAGAGATGTCATGTATAACCTAGCAAAGGAAAGTGATGTCCTTGTTGAGAATTATGTACCAGGGAAGCTAGATGAACTGCAACTTGGTTACAAAGACTTTGAGAAAGTTGCCCCACATTTGATATATTGTTCGATAACAGGGTATGGCCCAGTAGGTCCTTATAAAAACAGGCCTGGATATGATGTTATTGCAGCATCAATTGGAGGATTGCTGCATATCACTGGCCCAAAGGAGGGGGAGCCTGTCAAACCAGGGGTGGCTTTAACAGATTTAGCAACGGGTTAGTACTCTATACATTCTATAAAACAACATTTAACAGCCTTTAAGATATGCCATATCAAAGGTAAACATAATGGCAACAACAAAAAATAAGCTGATATATTCATTTGTTATGCAAGTATTTCTTTGAGTTATACTTGTTTTACCTAAAATTAATTTTATTGCTAATATTAATCTAATGTTATGAGAATTAAACTGCCAATATGAGGCTTGTTCTGGCAATGAATTTCTGACAGTTGTGGGTAGTTGGAAATAGTTAACCAATTCAGTTTGATACATGAATTTGAGTGCTACCTTTTTGACAATTTACTGTTTCAAAATCATTGGTAGAACATGGACAATGTCATAGTTGACAATGCCTTCCAATGGATGCATTTACTTCATTTTGCTCTTCATCTTTCTTATTTTCTTCATACTCACTTTTTTTTGATAAAGTTGCCTAGTGTCTGGGTAACCAAACCTGTCAGATAACCTATTGATAAACCCTCACCCTGATAGTGATGAACAGAAGGAACTAGACATTTGATCAGAGACTGTCATATGCACTTATTTAAATAAATAAATGATGATGTGAACTACATACTCATCAGACCTAGTCCTCTGTAAATGTCTGTTCCAGACTGTCAAAAACTCATTGTGGAAACCTTACAAAATAATATTCTATTGCTACCTGTGAAGGATAGTAAGTATTCATTAAGATGTTACCTTGTTGATTGTACTACTCATTCATCCTCTCAAGAAACACTATCGTTGTTTTTTTGTATTGCATGAAGTTTTTAGATGACCAATATAATATGAAAGTTCAAAGTTTATACGTCATTTTGAGATTGGTATCTTAATTCATCAGCTATCATTTTTCTACATATTTCTTTAAAATAAAATCTGTCTATTATGTTAAGGTTATGTAGTGGAATGAACAGCCAACCAATCCAACAGACATAAAAAAACAAATAAAAAATTATTTACAAATATTCCCACATTCAGATACTCAGAAAATCACAGAAAATGAAGCTGATATTGTATATTTACTTTCTTCTACTCTGATTGTTAAGTTTTCATGTATTTTCTGCAAAAGATCCTGAAAACAGTATGTATATCCAATCACAGGTCTCTATGCCCATGGAGCAATAATGGCGGCCTTATTGCAACGATCAAGAACAGGCAAAGGACAAAAAATCGACTGTAACCTTCTGTCAACCCAAGTAGCAAGTTTAATCAACATTGGATCAAATTATCTCAATACTGGCAAAGAAGCGACCAGGTGGGGGACAGCTCATGAAAGCATAGTACCTTATGAAGCCTTCCCTACCAAAGATGGGTACTACACAGTCGGCACAGGCTCCGATTTGCAGTATAAGGACCTTTGTGCAAAACTAAGTCATCCTGAGTTAGCTGAGGATGAGAAATATCTCACCAATAAATTGAGGGTCACACATAGAGAGGAACTTATACCTACCTTGAAGTCAATCTTCAAAACTAAAACAAATCAAGAATGGGATAAGATATTTGAAGGAAGTAGTTTCCCATGTGGACCAGTGAATTCGTTGAAAGAAACATTTGATGATCCACATATTAAAGCAATCAGACTTGTGCAAACTATTGAGCATCCCATTGCAGGAAATGTTCAAGTTGTCGGACCTTGTGTAATGTACAGCGGGGGTAAAAATTGTATAAGGGGTGCACCACCGACCTTGGGACAACACACTGCAGAGACACTGAAAAATATTTTAGGCTATACTGATGAACAGATTTTTGATCTTAAAAGGAATAAGGTTATTCAATGACATGACAGTACTATAATAGGGGTTTTTGGAATGTTTGCTCGAGAAAAAAAAGGAAAAGATCACTATCTATTTGAACTCAAGGCCTAAAACCTTGTAGGTTCACACCAATGTCCACAAATACCTATTTTTTCTTTACCGAAACTGTGGTTTTTTAATCTCTTGTTTCTTTTATTATGAACCTGGTAACCTTGTCTTTAAAAGCCTTATTAGTATTGTGACAATGAGGAAGCCAAAGATTGTTTATGTGTTACAGTCCTTCACAGATCCCTCTAGGTAAATTAGTAAAATTAATAAGCGTCTACAAGCAAAAACATGTCTAGTTTAGCGTATTTTTGTCATTCTTGGTAAGTAACTAGCTTGAAGGACCAAAAACTGATTTTCACATTTCTACTTGTGTTAATACATATATATATATACATATATATATTTTAGATTTCTAGATGCTTTTTTAGTACTTTCAAGCAGAGCAATGTCGACAAGACTAGGAAAAACAGTTGATGTTTCTTACTTTCTGTCATTATTTCTAATTATGCTCTGAAATGCAAAACATTCATTGCTTTTGAGTCATATATTTGCTGAGGGTGAGCATGATGACGTTGCACACATTGTTTTTAACTGACTTCAAAGTCGTTTACAGAAATTGGAAGTTGAGAAATATTAAAAAATGCGTGTAATAGAAAGAATGGACAATTTTATTAGCCTTGGATATGGGGAAGGAGTTTGTAATTTCATTATTTTTTATTATGTTGCAAATCCTGCGAAATTCTCAAATTAAATTTTAATACCAAGCAATAAAACGTCATACCAAAATGTTTATGGGCTTATTCAGATTTTTGCAACTTGAAAAAATACTAAACTGAGTTTGATTATAGTATTTTTTCTGAACTATAGTGTGTTTTTAAAAGCGGGATTTTTATTAACATGCCCTTATCACCGCATTCCTATTCCACATTTCTGTTCTATATTAAAGAATTTCTCAGCTCATAATGCTAGACGATATAACTATTCTTTGGTTAGACTATGAATTTAACTTTATTAAGAAAGCGCATACTTGTAGCAAATTATATATACTCGTATATGTGTACCAGATAGGCGTATTTCACAAAATTATAATTTTAGTTACATATTGTTAAACTTGCCATTATATTTTATATTTACAATTGCATTTAATATGGATATAGTATAATACCTATTTTGATAAGACTTGTATGTATAATGATAATAAACTGATACAAAGTAATCTGGCATATTTATTTGCTTTACTAATGTGTGTGATTGAGTGAAATGTTTGTTGCAGGCCAATGTACCCAGTGTCACTCTAAAATTGAGAAAACCCAAAACAGATAGAAAAGTAAAATGGACGACGGGGACGGTTGATAATGAAAACATGAACAAAAAGAAATCCAAATGTAAGTGCCTGACGAGCTAACGTGTTTTTGTATGAGTTATATATTACACATATAAAGTATAGTGTGTTGCATAGTCTGAGTGACATCCACCGCCTATTTCCCATAAGTATAAACTTTTTTTGCACAACAAATTCGAGAAATTAAATGTTTAGAGATCGATGTTTCTTTAGAATTTTTGTTGGTATTTCGAGTAAAATGGTCGAAGTTTAAAAAACGCATTCCGAGTTTTCCTGTTCTTGCCAAAAACACGATGTGGCTAGACGTTGCGGCGCCAGGTTATTTTGAGTTAAAACTAGACGCATTTGAATGAATGAATTTAAGTCCAGAGACGTCAGACATGTGCCATGTTAGCACATGCGAGTTACAATGGGCTTATTTAGCAAACGCCAACCTTTTAGGGGCGCTTCTTGTAATTGAATTATAATGGCACATGACTTGACATCTCTGCCAATCACAACTGAACGCCCTTCAATGGTTTTGTCAACAGTTACCGCACATATGTTGGGTTCCTTGCTCCTTTTATCCTTAGACGTTTCAGTAGTTGTGTCCTAGATACCTTATTCTTCTTTTGCTTGCGCCACTAATAATGTTTTATGTTATAATACGACTTTTGCCTTGGAGTCCTCTACTTGCACCAGAGGGTTCTGACGGGAACGTAAAAAGCCCATATTTAACGAATTTAATTATTAAAATAAATATCAACTCATAATCCAGAAATTCGTAAATTGTCGCATGAAACTAACACTGTCAGTGATGCGCTTTAGTACACAGGTTATTCCAGCTGCATCGATTGATTACCCAAAAAGTCGGGCAGAAAGTTGACATAAGACTTGAGCTTATAGTATAACTGATGGGAGCAAGGCGGCAAAAATATTTTCAAAATGGTGGCACCTCCGCTTGTACCCGAAGTAGAAAACAATTTGCTTACTTTAAATAATAGAACACGTATTCAATTTTTGAATTATACACTAGATTTTAAACACATCTTGTGTATGTTATCCCATACCTAAGTCTCACCGTTTTTGTGATATTTCAAGTTTTGCTTAAAACATAACAAATGCAGGTCATTGAATTACAACAATTTGTTCTTGTATTTTGGCCTTTTTGCCGAATAATTCGGGACCGGGAACTACTTTGGTAGATTTGGATGAGAAATAGTATAGGGCGGTCAAAAAAGAGAATGAAAATCAGATTTAAAAAACCCAAAAAGTCAATTTGCTCAAAGTATTTTTTGATTTAATATGAGAATTGGACCATATTTACTAAATCCATGACATCAAAAACGGCTTCCCATTGGTCGTATTTGTGTCATAGGCGCCAGTGGCGACGCGTGAATTTTCCTAAACTGTTACCAAAACCAGATGTGAAAAATTTTATTAAAAAAAGTTTATTTTGAACCTCCCAAATATGTTTTGGCTTATTTTAGGTATTTTATTTAAACTATTTCTAAATTATGGTTAGCGTTCCTGAACTGAGCGTCTGGGGCACTTGATATACCTCATCGTCTTATGCTTTGACTATTTCAAGCCGTCCGAAAAAACAGTCGACGTTTCTGGATGTTCAGAAGATTTTTGATCTTTTTTGGCAAATGAATGTTGACAATTCCCTGTAATTTCCTCTATTGTCAGAGTCATCCCCTTCAAAATGAACGGTAATTCCTGTCTTGCCAAAAAACATACGGTATCTAGAAGTGTGCTGCCTAAAAGCTTGGTTACGGCAACTTTCGATTCTTGTTTTTCCAAACTGAATTAAATTGGCTACACATCTCACATGTAACGGAGAAATTTCATGTCTCCTGCTCTTTAGAGCCCTAAAACTATTTAAATCGTTGACTCCGCTGCTGGTCCACCCATTTTTTTCTGTATAAAACAGAAGACATCGCCAACAATACAACCTGTTTTTTGCAACCACATAACCAAGACTTTCCGTATACCAACTTAATTTAAAATATCAAACTACTTTTTTATTCCTTTTTAAAATTATCTTAAATAGGTGTTGGTCTACCATCTTCAATGATCTCCTTTTTTCTTAAAAATTATACATGGAGAATTACTTTTCAAGTAGTTGATCGATTACGCAGCGACAGTCATCCATGTTTAATTGCACGCACACTACAGCCAGTAACCAAAACGGCTACGAACGAGTGAGAAGTGAGTAATCAAACCAAAAAACGGGCGCACTCGGGCGACCGCGATCAGACATGAGCCGGCACCGAAGGTCCCCGACGGACTACCAAGTGTATCCATAAATGAAAATGGTAACAACCGACAACCAAGTCAGCTTCATCGTGTTCGCAAAACCTAGACACTATAGGGCGCATTATTTTCGTGGGGCTAATTTGCTATTTACTGAATTACTATTACATATCACTGTTGGTAAACAAATAAATGAAATTATTTCACAGTACTTAGTCATAAAATATTTATTTTTAAGATTTTTAACTGTTACCAAAAATTGGATAATAAATCAGGCTATTTAAAATAAGCAAGTTGGTATCTACCGCTTGTAAACCGAAAATGCCATCATTTTGAAAATGTCTTAGCCGAATTGGTCCCGTCACTTACATTGTAAACCCAAATTTTCATAACTGCCAGTTCTATGTGGACGTGGGACACCCTGTATGTTAAAATTACAGAAATGTTGTGGAAGATAAGTAATGCTCCTTTACGAACCTACTTTCAGGTTGTTGTATTTATGAGAAGCCTAGCAATTTCGGAGAAAGTTCGTCAGACGATTCAGATGAAGAGTGCGAGCATTGTCGAGGACACGTAGAAAAGAAAAATAAAAACAAAGCGAAGCCACCAGTCGCAGAGGGCGACGGTAGCTGTTCATCGTTACAAGCTGATCCCATGAAAAGTGTCACGATAGAAAACTAAGCATTTTTTTAGTACATAAGGAAAATAGTCGTCAATATATTATGTATGTGAACGCCTGTTGTGGCACTTTTTATAAATTGATTTTTTATGCTCAAAAATATGTTATATGTGGGTCGCATAACAGTTTAGTGGGTCGAATATTCCAAGCAACATCTCTTGGACAATAGCGCAACGACGGTTATGCAAATAATTGGACAAAAATGGTTTCACTGTGACCGTGTGGTAAGGCTAAATTGTGAGCAAGGGTCATGTGTGTTTCTCCGATGAACAAAAGGATGTTACTATCATACATTAATAACTACTGATATCCAGGGTGCATAAATATCACATTCCATGATAAATACCGATCTTGTGACATTCGCCTTAGTATGCACATAGATGCTGAAGGAGAGAAAAATCAGGGTTGATTAGTTACGAAATAGTACCAGTTGGGTAATGCTTCATTCACTTGCACAAGTAAAGCTTGTGATTGTTTAGAGATTGCAGATGAAGAGTAATAAATTGGGTTGTACATTTGAAAATCTTGGTTCGATTGCGAATATCCACAATTCGATTTTTTATATTCGTGTCGGTGAAATAATGGTTTATCAGAACATGGCTGCCCGATACAGGAGCCCCGAACCTCGTTATTACTACAGGGTGTATTTTTCAAGAATCCCCATAAAAAAAGTCAGGAACCGTTAATTCCGGTGGCGTTGGTGGCCAGTTGACATCACCAACTCTAGCTGTGTGACAAGTTGCTCCGTCCTGCAGGAACCACATGTTCTGCAGGTTAAATTGTTGGACTTCAGGAGCCAGAAAGTTTTGCACCATATCACGGTAGCGCTCGCCAGTGACAGTAGGATAGTTGCCTGCAGTGTCTTCAAAGAAGTATAGTCCAAAGACACCTCCATACCAACACCGACGAGGATGTAGTGGTCGTTGATGGATGACACGAGGGTTATGTAATGTCTAGATATGACAATAACTCTGCATATTAACAAATCCGTTCATATCGAAGTGGGCTTCATCGCTAAATATTTATCAGTTGTCGGTAAAAATCGTTATTTCGGGCATTAAGCTGCAATATTGCGTGACTGTACTGTCGATGACTTTCATGGTCACTAGGCAGTTCTTGGGTTAACTTTTTTTAAAATAGTGCATAATACTTGCGACGAATACCCAGTTCTTGAGAACGATGTCTGGTAGACGTCTCGGGGCGCTCCACTACACGAGCTGTCTCGATATTTTCCGTCCTAGTACGAACAGTTCGAACACGGCCCGACCTTGGCAACTCTTCAACTTCACCAGTTTGTTCAAATTTCCGCACTAACCGACGAATGCTGTTGACACTAGGCAGATTATTTCGACCGAAATCTTGTCGTAGCTTCCGAATCGTTGGAACAATTGACTCATTATTCCAGTAAAACGTTTTAGCAATACAGACGCGTTGTCGTATCGTGTAGCGCTCCATGATAAATTGGACACATGTGCTTTGAACAACTACTGCGGCGCCACCTACTGAAATGCGTGTATCAAAAATGTCGCGCAATTTAAATGAGTCAGTTATATATTGGCCACCCTGTACATCATAGCGAAGCAAAACTCGAAAGCGATTCATCAGTTTAGCCACATATTTACTGATTAATCGGTATTTTCACATAATCTGGCGGGCCACAGCAAAATTATCAGCATCACTTTCTTATCTCATCTCCCTCACGCATACACATGCTATTCACCTGGATATGTAGACGTTTGTCCGCTTAAGCTCATATATTTGCTTTTTTTAGCTTTGTCCCACCACCTCAAAAATGTGAATGAGTATTTTAACATAATGTTTGCCACTGTCAGTGTGACAACTCATTTGTCATGGGCGTGAGATTTTAGTTTACCTTTTGTTGACGTATATAAACTGCAGCAATGCCTAGAAATATAATTAGCGGACAATGTCGACAGGTTGTGCTAAATTAAAACATCGATTTGCGCACTGTGCCTCATAGGAAAACGAAGATGGTCATGAGACAATTGAAGGCACAAGTTGTGTAACATTTTTTTTTAATTGCTTTTTTGCATTAAACAAGCCTTAAGGAGTGATTCTTTCATTCTATGATTACTTTGTAGCAACAAGATAAACTAATTAAGATAAATATTTAAAAGTCCCAATAAAAAGTCTATTTTCTCCATACAATGATTTTGTTACATGACACCTTCATCTACTTGCATCTTCAATTAGTTGATATAGTTACTTACATGTATTCCTTCTGTCACTGGTATGTAGCCGCCATAATTGGTGAGAAGACAATACAACACATACAGTATAAGCAATATACCCAGGGTTGAATGCAGATGAAAAGCTGATTGTATTATAATGAAAGGTTAAATAAATACCAGAAACTCGAGCATTTATGAAATAGGTACTTGTTTTTTTAGTCATTAGATAAGTAAATAAAAAGAAATGATAGTAAATATGAGAAGCATATGAAACACAAAATTGTATTATCACATGAGCATTTCAATGTTCTAACAACGTTCAGTCAAGAAGATGAAACCTTTCAATCAAGTACCCGTTACATTTCCATTGTTATACCTGTTCAAAGCTCCTGATGCTTAATGTTTTATTCATGCCGTGATCTATGGTATTTAATAAAAAATAATGTATAATCGCAGGTTATATGATACACAGACTAAGATGAACTTAGTGGTAGGTGCTTTAGATAGACTTGAAAATTATTTTCTTGTATTGTCATGTAGTCAGTATGTATGACTACTGCATATAACTTGCCACCAAAAACAAAAAAGGAAATAAATCACTTGTTTATTTAATCCTATCCATTCCTTATCTCTTTAGTTCATCTTACTTTAATAACAAAACTGGTGTAACAATAATGTACTTCTAAGAAAAATCTTTTTTGGTATTCAGAATTGTAAACTATAAAATTAAAATAAGAGACGTGAATGATGTTTGTTTTACTTATACTGTATAAATAATTAGATAGTATCTTTGCATCTGCCCGGTAAAATATTCCGATTGCAATATTTTTCTCATCAGTACGAAGTAAAACGAAAATTTTAATGTTGTGGCAGTGTCCTTTAATATTCGTCAAGATTTATCAATCAAATCTCAAACCGTTTTAAGAGGTGTTATTAATCAAATTCAAGCGGATAACCAAATGAAAATGGTATTTGCCATTTTGGGTTGGTATTTACCGATCCGTTCAAGCGAGTGTGGTTATCAGTTTGGTTATAAGATCCGTGACGTCATGAATCAGCTGTTATATGTCACAGTTATCACCGCAAAATTGTGGTATTTACCCAACTCGTGAATAGTTTTATATTTCTGGTTATTATTTGAAATGTGACAAGTTAGAATTTTGCCGGGTATTGGATATTGTTATTGTACTTCAGCTTCATTTTTGGAAAACTTGATACCGGCTGACTTCAGTGTTAGCATAAAGTGGAGCACCTTATTAGTTATACTCATTACTGTTGTTGGGAACACTTTCAATCTAGTTCCTATGTTTAACAAAGTATCCTGTGTAGCCATATACTATACCACAAGAATATTAGAATATGGCCATTTACCTCACTGGATGATGTCCACCTGTATACGGTTTTGCTAATATCTTTTTTCATCATTTCTGCTAAATCAATAAATGTTTTCTTTGACATGCGGAAAACTTTAGAGAATTGAAAGTTATCATAGCTACAAAACCATGGTTCCATCATTAAAATAATTTTTCTGAAAAAAAAAACATTTCTCCCATGAATATTATGAAAGGTTTCTTATTTAAACTTTCCATACACCGTTGTAGACAAAAAAGCACCGATTATTAAGTGATAATAAACATAATTTGAGATTATATACGCACTTTTCTGAAATGAACAACTTGCAACAAAACCGCGGTTAAAACCAACGCGTTCAAGCGATTCTTGTAACTGACGTCATCAACCCGTGTGTCATCTTGAACCATATTATAACCACGGCATATAACACAGAAATTTTGGTTATTCGCTTGGATTTGATTATTGTAAACATGTGTTTAATTGTTAAAGCTGCTACACACAGTGCCGGCGGCAATGCCGCCGGCAATACAAGCCGTCAAGCATCATTCCGGTTGTGACAGTCACATAGAAAGCTAGTGAAGTGCTGCATTTCTGGGATTAAATAATATATCATTTTCATGAAATTTTTCAATTAAGAGCAGCACAGCTTCGTCGTCCCAATTAAACGACATTTTGATTTGTTTAAACACACAAACCGCTCGAATGCCAGGAACGAAGTGACGCCGGCACACCACGGCGGCTCCTTTGCTTATACAAAGATGCAGTTTTAAATAAATTTTTTCAGGAAACAAAATTCCACGCTGAGTGAAGACAGTGAAATTAAGTCACCTGTGTGATTTCAATCGAGATATAGCGGAATTGGAAAACTTTTTGCAGACACTACACTCTACGGAATAATTGTCTTTCCATTTTTGAACAAAATGAACCCTAGTTCGTCGATTTCTTTCTTCTTGGAGCATCCAACCATATTTTTTTAAGTTTCCGGATCACTGTGTAACAAATTTCGTACGTTTGCGAATAAACCTAATCTCACTTTATGCTATTCTATACATTGTAGACAATTAATGTATACGCGTAAACGCCCACCACCGCTCTCTATTCTCTCCTACTCCCCCTTCCCCGGCTATCTCTCTCTCAAAAATGAATACAAGAAATAGGCAGCATTATAAATAAACTGAATTATCCAGATTTTTGTCATATACGCAATGTGGCAAAAGGCAGGTTTTTATTGAAGTTAAAAAAAGTCAAAAGAAGTTTTGGGGTTAGCTTCACGTCCACATTGAAAAATAATTAGCATCCTGTCATGGCTGCCAGTAGTCAGTACTGTCAAATTAACATGGTTGCATGGTTCACTAACCTGTTGTTAAAACAATAAAAGCTGTTGATTTTCATACCATCCTTATTGATCATGCCTATTTCCTATCACTGTCAAAAATAACGTCGCAGGAGCGATGACACACACAGCGGTTTATGTCGAATTCACTGCCGCTGTGCCGCTTCAATGTTGACAGCGGTAGAAACTCATATGGGCGAATGGGAAACAAAGCAGTGTTGCTGGTGCACAATATGACACCCATGTCGCACCCTGAAAAAATGACCGCAATTTAAATTTCTGGCGGGTTTCTTCCTATGCTTTGCATATACAGGGTGGCGCAGAGGAAACGCATGTTTTCTGACCGAATGGTATTTCGCACAGAATAGGGATATGACCTCGCCGCACCGCCAGCAGAGAACACATGCGATGCAGTTTCAGCCATGGCACCGTGGATGACGGAGCATCGTGTGTTTGCCGTCGAGCAATTTTTTCGAAACGATGATTCTGTAGTGATCGTGCAACGTTTATTCCGTCGACAGTTCAATGTTGAACGCCACGGGCCAATTCCAGATCGAAACACAATACTCCGATGGGTTGAAGCATTTCGAAGTACTGGATCCGTAATGAAGAGGAAGCCACCTGGCCTTCCCCGTACCGTGCGGACTCCAGGCAATATCGAAACAGTGAGAAGAGCGGTCCTTGATAGTCCCCAACGGTCCACTAGGCGCCAAGCTCCAACTCTGCGTATGTCCCGTCGGTCGTTACAACGCATTCTGCATGACGATTTACAATATCATCCGTATAAGATAATGATCGTGCAAGAGCTAACGGAAAGCGATTTTGCACAGCGCAAAGAATTTTGTGCGAGAATGCGGGCCATTTTTGCTGACGATCCTAACGTCGTCATAATGATGAGTGACGAAGCACACTTCCATTTAACAGGATATGTAAACAAGCAGAACTGTAGGTATTGGGCGGCCGAAAATCCACGAGAGCTACACCAACGACCCTTGCATAGTCAAAAATTAACTGTGTGGTGCGGAATCAGTAAATTAGGTATCGTTGGTCCTTACTTTGTTGAAGAGGAAGAAAGAGCAGTAACAGTTACTTCAGCACGTTATGTTCACATGTTACAAAATTTTCTGTTACCCGAACTTCAACGGCAACAAGTAAACATGGGAGAGCTGTGGTTCTAACAAGACGGTGCCACAGCTCACACAGCGAGAGCATCAATGGAATGGATTCGACAGATGTTTCCTGAACATGTGATTTCCCGTTTCGGCGATGTCCCTTGGCCCCCACGCTCCCCAGATTTGTCCGCATGCGACTTCTTTTTGTGGGGTTACCTTAAGGATAAAGTGTACCCTCACAAGCCTCGTACGTTACAGGAACTGAAAATTGCTATTCGTCAAGAAATTGCAAGAATACCACAAGAAATGATTTTACGTGTAATGCACAACTTTCAAGAGCGGTTGGAGATGTGCGAGCGCGAAGCAGGGCGACACTTGAGTGACGTTATTTACCATCATTAGTTTAAAAGTGCACTATCATTACTTTATTTAGCTGTAACTGAAACAAAGTTATCTTGAAAATAAAAAATGTTATGCTTAGGTGAAAATCGTGCGTTTCCTCTGCGCCACCCTGTATAACCTTACTTGTTGAGCAAGCCATGTTCGTTTTGCCTAACATAAACATTTTAAATTGAATTAAGTCCCTATTATGTTATTTGAGACATGCCTTTTGTTCTTAGTTGTGAAGTATAAAAATGTAAGTACCTAAAGCTATAATATATTTGTAATCACTATATAAGACAAACTCAAATTAACCAAGAGCAAAGGTCCTGCGTCCTACGAACCGCTCTGACAGACAATGACGAATAGAAAAAAAACTCCAAATCACAACTATTTCTTTTTTTTTAAGTTGATCCAAACGATCCCAGTCAGTAGCCATGCTTCTGGCAGATCCTGAGAAAGATCAGAGATGCAGCGGTTACTCATTTGAGAAACGTAATATTTGAAGATTGTACCTGTTTGTGTCTCCAGATCACTATTTGAACAGTGGAGTGCTACGAGAAGTTCAACAGCTGCCGTTGTCAACCCATGAGGTCCTGAGAACTATCAGGAGCTCGAAGATTATTCTGATCTAATCAAAAGGCACCGCTCTGAAGGATTTATGCCGAACATAACATTTGTAAATTTTATGTGACTTGATAACCAGTGATAATTTGTACTGCTTTTTGTCCAAATTACGTTTCCATACTTCATTTTAAATCAGCGATTTTCAGAGCAGCAGGGTTGATATGCAAAAGTCACTATAGTTGCAATGAAGTCGAAGGCACATGTTGTTATTGAAGAATAACATTGGTGCCCAAAGGCTGGTGTCACAGAGGCCTTGACTTCTTCTGGGAATCCGCTTTGACTTTAATGTTTGTATATTTAGCATGCTTTTGTGTACAACTTTGAGAATTAATTTATAGGATTTGTCCCCTCCTGAGAAAATTGCTTCCTCTGCTCATCAAAAATTTTGGGGCAGGTACAATTTCACAAAAAGTTATCTCTTGATGATGATCAGCACCTCTGAGAAAAATTCGTGTAGGTACCCATGGACAATGTTTATTGTTCTAATAAAAAAAGAAATCTGAAATTGTAGTAACATATCAACACAATTCAATTGTTTCCTAATTTCTTATTTATGCAGGTGCCAACAAAGGCTGGGGAATGAAAACATCTGGACCATAATGATGTCAACACTGATTTGTTTGTAGAAAAATGTGTCAGATTTATATAATAAATATGTATTTACGTATTTGCAATATATGTTTTTCTTTTGAATCTTTCCAGATTAGTACGTAGAGTGATCTTATAACAGCTTGTGTTATTGACGTTGCTATTTTAATATACAAGAAAGCACTTATTCGTCAAGATAGCGCAAAATGTTAATAGCACATGCTGTTATAAGATCTCTCATACCCTACCAAATTTCTATATATAAAAGTGTAGCAATCTCAGATTTATATGTAGAGCTGGCAACGTTGCGGGATATTACTGCACGATCTGGCAACCATGGTGCACCCTCAAAAAATGGCCGCGGACAACCACACAAGTCACCGTGTTGCAATTGAATAGCATGGAATTAAACCTTCTTCAGTGTATATGTTTTGTGGTTGACACACACAACGGCTTTTACCGTCGACAGCCGGACAGTGTTGAAGGAAGTAGCGGAATTTCGCTACTGATAGCGGAATTTTCAAGTGGTTGCGGCGGAATTGGATTTTTTGTTAAAAGTAGCGGAATTTTGCAATTTAGGTACACATGATGGATATTTTTACCAGAAAAAAAAATG